ACACACAAATAAAAAAAAATGCTGGTCACAAATGGTCCTTAGCATCAAAGTAGGAATTTAATTTATCTCCGATTCCACACTTGTGAACAGGCTACACCACTTCAAAACATTCAGCCAGTTTCCTTACCTCCATCCCACTTATCTGGCAGATTTGCTGCTTTTAGACTCTGAGTTTACGTAAAAAATAGATGAATATTATCATAAGAGTAAAAAAAAATTCCCAGCAATTGAAAGACAAAGGGATTTAAAAATGTAGCTTCTCTTTGAATACCTTTTTCATCTCCCATGGGCACATGTATAGAATTACCATTTTCCAGCTATTCAGAATGCACATTTAAGTAATTATTTTTTCCCTCATAAGCCATGAATGACACAACATGCAATTCGTCCAATAATATTAAGAATTTACAGTTTAGCTTATCATTTTATGTCAATTATTGCCATAAAATAAACAATAAATGTCATAAATATGGAAATTATTTTTACCATAAAATGATAAAATTATAGAGCTGCAAAGGACCTGAGAAGGTCTTGTAGTCCATTCTTTATCGTGGAAGATCGACTATACTCAACTTACTTTTAAGAGAAGTTTGTCTATCTTGTGCTTAATAACGTCCAGCTGTGGAGATTCTGTAGCCTCCCTAGGGAATTTTCATTCATTAGTCTTGCCATTTTTTTTTTTTCCTCTTTCATGGTATTTAATTTAAATCTTCTCACTGGCAAGTTAACTAGGTATGTCTTATCAGCTGCCTATCATTTTCCTTTGCAGATGTATATATTTGTACTTTAAAAAGCCAAAGTGGATAGGATAAATGTTGTTGCTGTTTTTTATTTTTTCATGTAAATAAACAAAACTTGCCACAGTTTTCAGACATTGATGCATCTTGATTTTCCTGCCAGATCTCAGCTCTTACAGGACCCGAAAGAGGAAATGCGCAGACTAGTGTAATTCCACGGTGTCAAACCAGTGTGATGGTGAGAAGACTTCAGTCCCAGGGAAAGCAATCGCAAAGCAGTTTCAGAAAGTTATTCTGCTGTGGCAGGATTTCAGGCCCCCTTTATCATACTATTTATCTAAATTATAAAAATCAGAGTGAAAGAAAAATCACCCACAAATGTCCTCACATTCTGACTTGCATAGAATAATAAGGGAAAGGTTTCTTTGATGTAAAATGCCTAACAAACTACTCAAATTAGACAACATCTAGAAAAAATGGCACACAACTGCTGACAGATAAATGATCAGGTAGTACTTTAAGTATGCTGAAAGATGCCAAAAATGTCAGTTCTAAAAGGATGAGCTAGATGGGCTATGAGGGTACGCCCAGAAAGCACAAGTATATCTCTCATGCCAGATAAATGAGTCCTGTGAATCGAGGCCAAGTGCCTCAGACTTGTCTACTGTCTAGACCTCGTCCCCTCCAGTGCAGGTTGGTTGCATCTTGCCTGCACCATGCTTGGCCTTAGTCTCTCCCGCATCCTCTGTGCTTTAAAGATTCAGTTATAATTTGTGGGTGTTTTTTTCAGTTCAGATTTTGAGACCTGAGAATTCAACTCAGATGCTGTCACAGAGAAGTGGTGTGAGGTTACGGGGTCACAGCGGGACACAAAGCAGGCAGCTCTGTTGGATAGGGGGAACCAGAAAGGCATCATCCTGTCCACACTGCCTGTTGGGAAAGGTACCTGAAGTCACCTCTACCCTAACATGTTCTCATATATTGTCTTGAAGATAGCTGTTTGAAGCCATCAGTGAGCCAGGGAGCAAACTGAGTGTAAGGCAGTGTAGGCAATCAAAAGTCTAGCAGTCAAGTTTCTCCCTATCTTCTACTTCACAGTGTAGATACACCCAGGGAGATACAGATTCATTCCTTGTTTTGTCCATATTTTCTCTCCCTCTCTCTTACAGCCTCAGTTTAAGAAACCCTCACAATGATACATTTATCAAAAAAATACTTTCTGAAAGAACATTATAGTTTTGTAAATTACAGCAATTAAAAACTTAATCCTAAAGTCTTAGCTAGTTCTACTTAGGAGTTCCTTTGAATCCCATTTGCCAGTCCATGTCCTGAAAATTCTCAATCAATTTTCCATGAATTTCAGATGTCCTAGTCCAGTGATAAGGCCTGTTCCTTCGAAGCCTACACAGGCTTCAGTTCACATGCATGAAATCGCCTGATGCACATAATTAGAACAACATATGGCCAGGAGCTGGATGAGAGCGATTCTCCATAAACCCAGTTATCCTATCATTGTACTTGTCTACACTATTTAACAAAAAACCCACCACACACAGAAGTGAAAGCACAGCAACCTCTGGAGGCTTAAGCACATCCAATTTCTCACTTGTAGGATCCTAGGCAGAAGATTCTGATCGCCCTTCTTGCACTAAGTAGTGGCATCGTATCTTATTCCAGACAACAGTCCCCTGATTATACTATATAATTTGCTTTTGCATCTTTTGGTAAGGCAAAACAGTTATTAGATTGAAGAATAGTACAATTACTGAAGCCTTAGGCTACTTAGCTGCTTTTGGGTCTAAAAATCAGGAGATCAGGTAGTAACATATGGAGTAACATAATCATATTTAAATGTCCATCTTGACCCCAGACTAGCTCAATGGCTTAGCTATGTTGCTTTTTTTTCCATCCATGATTGTCCCCATCTTTGTAATCTGAATATTCTTTTGCACATTGCTAGGATTTACCAACTTCTGTTCATTTGCTTAATGGTAGTTTTGCTCTGCCACAGTTTATGGTGGAGAATATTTGTTAAAACAAGAGATATAGTCTGAATACCTAACTGCGGATGATTAAATTAGACTGCGTCCAGACAAGCTTAAGCTCTTCTTATGGAAAGTCTGCATTAGGATATAGTTGCATTGCCCTGGATGTTTCTACATGTAGGAATCATTAATAGGCTTAGCAACATCATGGTAAAAGAATTATACCTTGCTTAAAATAGCATTTGAACAAAATTAAAAGATTTAGAAAGCTATAATAGTAATAGAGTGTTTAGTATAATTATTCTGAACATGATCCTACTTGATAAAATACCTTGTCTATGAAACACGGTGGTTTGGATTTGCTTTTTGAAGGAATTGCCATCAAGAAGGGTGCATATTTTTGATTAAATGTTTAATGTTATATACCTCATCTCATTAGTTCTACATTCTGTATTGGAATATAAAAATTGGATAATGCTCTGAAATATTCTGTATATACAGGGTAGTACTGCATATACTGTGTATGTGATGATTATAATCATTATGTGTACAAACAGCTATTGAGTATTCACTGAAATAACTTTAGTTTGTGTTAATTGGCTTGGATAAAATAAGAACTACTGGAACATTTGCCTCTGTTTACACTTGAATTAAAAACATATGGTGCATATATACTGTATACACTTATATTCATTTTCAGATCTCTATATGACATGGAGTGATTACTGCCTGAATGGCAACAGGAAATTCAGAATTTCACAGAAAAGAACATACTCACAGCTTAGTGACTGGACTCCAAATAACTGTGATGTAGGTAAGAGTTATAATTATGAGACATGAATGAGAATTACAAAGAACAGAATATTCTCCACCGCTTCTTAACACTTTCGCTTATACTCATATAACCTCTTGAAGGGAAAAATGCTAATCATTGGGTTAAAGCAGCTACAAAAAATTCATACTGATTATGTCCAGACTCTATTGCAAAGACCATTTCTCAGAGCAGAAACAGTCATGTAAATTCTTACACTAAACTTTTACTCCAGATATTGAGCTCTGATGTTGGTTCTTGGTTATTGCTGCTTATCTGAGAGTTCAGCTTTTTAGATTCACTAACAAACTCATTTTTGCCTATTTTGTAAAAGCAAGAATTCAGCCTGCTTGAAAAGATTGAGCAGTATTTTAATAGCAGAACAAAAGAGAAAATAGTCACAAAGAATGTTGTCCCGGTTTCAGTTGTTACACTACAATTTCTTTTTATTGCATGTGTGGATAAAGCCTCATTCTAATTCATTGCAAAACAACTTGTAGCCCTTCATGTTGGGAGCTGATATTGGTGGGAGGCAGGAGAAAGAGGAAACAATATTCCTGCCCTTGCGTACACACATATAAATCTCATTATCAAAATAGTACATTAGCAATTTTCTGTCGTAGTACTTATTGGCCCTTCTCATTTTCCTTCTTATCAATGTATAAAATAGTGATTTGTTTTCAGTACGGTACTGCCAGAAACTGATGTTTTAAATCTGAAATTTGTTCCAATATGCAGAGGTTTATGTTAACTATGTGCTTTGTTCATCCTTTAGTATTTTCAATTAGAAGTTAAGGGATTATTTGAAATCTCAGAGAATAATTTTAATCGTTCATTTTTCTTAATTTTAGGTCATAGAAGAACACTATGGTGCAATAGAACATTGTATCTAATAATGGTGTAACAGGGCTCAATTTAATATACTATTGGTGATGTTCAGAATTTATGAAATCTTAATTTACACAAAACTTTTCCCACACACATATTTTAAAACTGTCTAAAAATTGCACTCCAAAATTCTCACTGAAGTTTTTTTCAAAGTGTCATTCCCTCCATCATTTGCAATATCATTTATCATCCTTTAAATGTCTAGCAATGACTTGGAATCCCGTCCAGATATTAATAAAGAAAAAGCGACTGCAGACAGGATTTTAAACAGGAGTCCAGCATAATGTGCTACCCACAAGTCTTGATGCCCCTAAAGGGCTTCTGATTTGCTGGTTGCCTTGAGGAAAGCTTTGATTAGTCCCCAAGCGTGGAACAAAAGAGCTCACCCCAGCTCTGTGCTGTCAGACAGGATCCAAGCTTGAGAACTATTATTTCTCTTACACACACCTGCATTCAAGATTTTCCTGTCTTCCCTTTCTCTCCCAGAAACTCAAAGCAACTAAAAGCTCTTTTTCTCCTCTCTGAATCATCACTACCCATCTTTCTGAAATAAACCTCATACAGAAATTATGTTCTTACCAGTCTGATGACTTGTCGGTGTTCCTTTATAGGTCACTGATTTTCTTTGAAGAGTTGAGCCCGATAACTTAGGACACTACCATTTATAGGTCTGCTGGGAAGGTTTCTGCCATGTCAGATGTGCAGGATGGCTTCAAAGCTCCAGTCATCCAGCAATGACAGGTCTGGTCCTCACATCCTACTCAGCTTTTTCCTCCTCTCCATCCTCCACTTACAGGGAGACTTCCCCACTCCACGTGGTTCATCTAGATAATCTGTGAACAGATTTTGCTGAATATATCAGTCCCCAAATTTTGCCTTCAGCTTTAAGAGAAAGTTTGCTTGATTGCACAGGAATTCTAATGGCTCCTTCTGCATCTGTCTTCAGCTGGGTTTGAGTTATATGAAGGGGATGAGGACAGAGAGGCATCAGCCCTCATTGAGATAAGAAAAATGAGGCATTTTCTTCTTTTTCCCTATGTGTGCACCGTATGCAAAAGAGCAAAAGTCATCTCGCCAAACATGCTGAAAGTTACTTCATACTCGTGCCTGAGGAAAGGTTGCCCAAAATAGATGTTTGCCACAGGGACACTTGTGAAGCATCTAGATACCAAAGCAGTTCTTAGGTCTGAAGCACATACAGCCAAACTTGGGTTGGACAGTCATGTAGAAGCACTCAAATAAGTGTGCACAGTTACCAGTGCATTGGAATGAGGTACTGCACATTGTTACTGAGTTTATAGTATAGGTCCTGTGCTGGCATAAATAGATGCCACGACAAGACTATTGGTTTCTACAGTTGTTTTGTGTACTACCCTCAGGACTATGAGTATGCCAATTGTGATGTGAAAAATAACACCATATGCCCATAGCTGGTATAGTTGCACCTCTTTTGGGCCCAAAAGTCCACAAAGAGCTTTGATGTATGCGATATATTTGTACCAGACCAATATGAGTTCTTGCTCTCCTGGCCCAAACTTCGAAGCCATCACTATAGATCAACTTCTCTGATGATCAGAATGATTGAACCGATACTATATCTATCATAAATCTAGATGAAAGTTTAGAGCGCAGGAGGTAAGAGTAGAATGTCAGTGACATGTGTGACTGTGGCATGAAATTATAAAATAATACATTTATAAACACAAAACATTGTAGGAGGGACTAAAGGATATACACTGATGGATCCCGTCATCAAAGCTCGGCCTCCTTTCCAAACATGTTTATAAGATGAACACTTTGTGCTATGGCTGTGAAAAATGAACAGGATCTATAAGCAGTCTTGGAATTTGGAGTTTGGGGCATCTTATCACATCATGATGTGACTCCTTATTCTCCAAAGTTCACCTTCCCTTGGGAAGGACCTTACTAAGTACAGTCCTTGAGTACATGGGGGCACTGCAAAGGGCTGCAATCTAGTTTAAGAACATCATTACAATTTCTAGTTGTGCTGAAGCAATTTTATTTTATGCATCATTTGCTAGGGTTAACTGGCCCCACGTTCAACCTGCCTGACAATAAAAACAAGAAACTTTCCTTGCTGTTCAGTAGCTGCACACCAGGTACTTTGCCAAGACTCTCACCCCCATCAGACAGAATGTTCTTTTGAGAATGATAAATGTTTCTTTCTTCCCCATCAGCATGTCATATTTATAAAAAGGAAAGGCTGTTTTCCAGGAAAGTTAATGTTTCTACCTGTCAGCCTTGAAGGTGACTCTTTTAAGGTTATATTTGTCTCTTTTAAAGCTCCTGTAATGGGATAAAAGCCGAGCAATAAAAACATTTAAGCCTATGCATCCTAGACTACGGTAAACACCTACAGGTGTAAACATCTCATAAAGGTCTTATTCTTGCACACCAAAGGAGGAAAAGTGTTAGGTGTGCCACACGTCATAAACTTGAAATCACACCTTTAGTAGTGTGCTTTTCCTTAGTAGTTTAACTGTCCACATTTGTGGTTTAGCTGGCCTTCACTCCCAGCAAGTTAAAATTGTGCAGTAGCATAGGCTGGTTTTGTTCAGTTTACTGTAAAATAACATTTAACTGGAATTTAACTCTAAGTGGTATGTTATAGGTGACTGGATGGAGATGCTTTCTTCAACTTTGGCCCATGTGATTTTTTTTAGAATCTATTCTGACCTGATAGGTCTATCTTTTTTGACTAGCATGTTTCTTGGAAGGTGAATTAATTGTTTCCCAAAACCAAAAAAGCTTGCAAAACCTAAGAATGGCTTGCATCATTTCTCTGGTGCATGAAAAAACTGAAATGCTATATGGGTGCCTCCGCCTTTTTTGGATATTTCTCTAACTTACAATGCAGAAACAGGTGTTCTGCTCAGTAGGCTGTGAGATAGCATAGCCCAGGAAAATTTCAGGCTTTAAAATTAAAATATTTTTTATTTTCTCCTAAGAATAAATTCAGACTCACATTTACTGCAGACCCAAGGCTCTGATGAGAGAGGGTAAATCAGCATCCTGCAGTATCATCATCACAGTTGATGGTTTTGTTGCGATCGGTCTTCAATATTCATTATATTGTTAAAGTTTCCCCCCGGCTCTGTGTTCTTCCGAGCTGCTATTGAAACAAAGCACAAATGCCAAGAGGGTAATTTCAGCAAAAAAGTGTAGTTAGTACAGATCATTGAACAAACTATTTTTCAGCTGGCTACTCTAATTCTAGTCAGCCAAAGAACCTACATCAAAATATGGACACTGCTCTTAGGAAAGCTCATTTTCCTCTTGTTCTTATCCCCTTCCCCCAAATACCTATATGCATATAAGCGAAACATTCATGTGAGCTAGTAACGTCTTCTATTCGTAGATAATAACAGTGCTACACACGTTATTCAAAATAAGGGCATCCTGATTTTCAGTTCTCACTATTTAATTAAAAACAACAACAGTCTGGTTTTTAGCAATTCATTTTCTAACACTTTGGCACCCTTTGGTGTTCTGGGCTACAGTTTTATGTTTGACTGCAGTTATTGCACATGATTTTTAAAATATACTGGTGAGCAAAAACTCACTGTCTGTAGGACTAAGATTTCTTTTTCTGCTTCCACACGACAAAAATAGCCCTTAAAAAAAAAAAAGTCAAGCAGTGAGTGAAGAAAACAGAACGAGTGACTAGGTCTGTGAACAGTAAATGAACAACATACTAATTTGTCTGAGTTAATATATTTCTTTTTTCTTTCATGACAACAAACACAATCGGCCTCCACAATAAAAGATTATCATGCAGTTTTGCTGCTGCAGGATTTTTCCTCATCCTATTTTCCAGAAGTAAATCTTTTGCAGGCCCGGTTTGATTGGTATTCCAAATAGTTACTGAGGAACACATGACATATCTAACGTTCACAACTATTTAGCTTTCCACCATCGGAAAGGCCAGTTAAGATGAAATTTAACTCTAATGTCCTAATAACAGTGCTATTTGCCTGCATATGCGCATAGAGTCAGTCAGTGCTTAATCCATAGATTATTCTGCACTATGGGAACTGGGTTTTAGTAAAGCTTTTTGTTTTCTAATAGAAAATTTGTTTTTGCTATCTCTGTGGTCTATTTTTGCCTTTTTCCTTGTAGGACTAGAAGTTAAACCAAATCAGGTTAGAAGTGCCTGAAAATTCAGAGCTGACTGGCGCGTCTCAAGCACTGGGTGGCACTGGCTTCTGCAGCCTCCACGCGGACAGTTGCCCCATGAGCAAACTGACCTTTCAGTTCGCAGAGCACATGAATGTCCAGAGAAGCAGGAGGGATTACAGTTTTGCAAATTCTTCTGCATCCCGTGGCCTCTCTTGGGTGAGCTAGACACAGAGCCAGCCTTAACCCTGAGCCACAGAAAGAAATGTGGGGGTTGCTTGCCTGGCTCCCTGCACCACCGCTCTGCCAGAGGCACTGGGAGAGAGCCCTAGCAGGCCTGCCGCAGCCCTGGCGCCAGCTCCTTCATTTCTCCTCTCCTTTCCTCTACAGGAGACCCTTGGTCCCAGCCAGACCCGAGTCTTATTTCTGGGACAAGAAAATTCAATTTTGCATATGCTATTAAAAAGCTTTGAGCGCGCTCCGGATGAACACATCTGAGAATCAACTGCAGTTATTATTTTGGCAAGGGCACACAGAAGAAACCCCATCAGGAATTTCACTAATAAAATCTCAGTAGGACTCTTCCACCATTGACAGCAAATTAACTCTGCACCATCCTTACAAATGAACACTAAAGGAAAATGAGATGCATAACAGTGCTTCATCCACTTCGCAAGCTTTAAAGACTGTATTTCAGTGGTTACTAACACAGAGTGAAAGAACAAAGCCAGATCGCTTGAAACTTTTACGTTCAGAAAACCAAACTTCGGTTAATAGGAGTGTAAATCAGATACTTGTTCTCTCTCTTTGTGTGCACTCTTGAGTCATTATGCTGTGCATGTAAGCAAGGAGTAATATCAGTGTCACCAGAACAATACTGTGCTCTAGACAAGCACAAGAGAGATATGAAACTATATTGCATAAAGCCTAATCTTAATCACTGTGAAATGTGGTTAGGTTTTCAGTCAACCACATCTGCAGTCACAGCAGTGCCTTATTTGTAGTTATTTGGCTTTCATATTAGAGATTTTGCAGCTTAACAAGAGCAACTGGAAACTCCGAATTTGTAATTTTCAAAATGCTAATCGTTTTGAGAATCCTATGCAAAATTTTACAGATACATACAAAGTCATACTGTAATAAAATATATGAGCATGAGGAAACTAAATGAGGATGCTTTAAATAACATATTCTGGAGACAAGGGATCAGTTGGAGTACTGGATTGAAAAGCTGGCTGACAAATCAAATGACAGCATTCAAGGATAACTCAGTTGTGGAATATTCTGGCTTCACAAATTGAATGTCACCATTTAAACTTCAACTGCTATCTGGTAGATGAATAAATATCAGCTATTTAGTCAGAAGGCAGATTTATATCAGATAAAGACGGGGACACGAATGGGGCCAATGTTTCTATTTCAGTGTTTATTAAACTATCCAGTCTGTTTCAGTTCTTACTACAGAAGGACAGTGGCATGTGTTTGGCATATTGTTTTTACAAAATCCTTTCAGGGAGCCCATGTCAATTTATGTCAGAGCAGTCTAGCAGCATGGACACCAAAATTAAATCTTATAGAAGTGTATTTCTGAAGCAGTGTAACTTGTGCTCAATATACGCTTTTATTTA